TATTTCTTCTGGTGTCTGGGGGACAAAGCATGAACACAAACTGAAAAATATCTAAGTGGTCTGTTCTTGTTTTGGCCTGTATGAAGAACTCAGATTAGTATTAATATAGATTTCATGCATGTTTAGGAGTGACGGAGGTGAAAATATATCTGTGTGGTGTTCTCAACACATTGGTTCTGTGGTTCACATTACTATGTTTTTAGGTCAATTGTGGATGTTGTATCTTAAGGAGAACTTGTTCATTTCTTCCTGCCTCTTTTTTTTCTGTATAGAAGGTAAGGTGACGAGGCATCAAACTTTTTCTTTCTTACTAATTATTGATGTATCATTCCAATAAATTGGTTTTAGAATGTTTTCTCGTTATATTAGTTTGATTTTTGTTGGGTGTTTTCGGCTTGGTATTTTCAGTGTTGGAAAGGATCCTCTTTGTTTAGCTTGCAAAGCAAATCTGAGGATATTCAACCAAAAGAGCTGCTTTAAAATTTCAGTATCTGTAGCAGCCACAAAATTAATGTAGTACACACATTCCCCTACCCCATCCATTACTATTAATTCATGTTAATAGTTTTGTGCCCTGTTGCTGGAATTAAGATTATTAGTCTAATAGCTGTATCTACACCACTTAAATGATCTGTGTTAGAAAATGTGTGTCAAATACAGTTCCTACCCCACATCTACACTCCCTCCCCCAAACTGATGTTGAATCCAATTGATCTAGATCAGTGGTTCTCAACCAGGGGTACGTGTACCCTTCGAGGTACACAGAGGTTTTCCAGGGGGTACATCAGCCCATCTAGATATTTGCTGGGTTTTACAACAGGCTATATAAAAATCCCTAGCGAAGTCAGTACAAAGTAACATTTCATACAATGACTTGTTTATACTGCTCTATATACTGAAATGTAAGAACAATATTTATATTCCAATTGGTTTATTAATTATATGGTAAAAATGAGAGTCAGCAATGTTTCAGTAATATTGTGGTGTTACACTTTTGTATTTTTATGTCTAATTTTGTAAGCAAGTAGTTTTTAAGTGAGATGAAACTTGGAAGGGTACACAAGACAAATCAAACTCCTGAAAGGGTACAGTAGCCTGGAAAGGTTGAGCGCCACTGATCTAGAGTGTATGGATAGGTCAACCAGCTTCAGCACCTTTTGTAGTAAAGCTTGTTAGACAACCTAGCCTGCTTTGCCACAGTGGATACTGAACTTGGTTGAACCTGTCTATAAAAGTGGGGATAAGTATGTTCTTACCAGTTGCAGGAGGGACAGTGGGTCACATGTTTGATGTTACATTAAACTAAAACATAGTTCATTTTTGTAATGTGGTGATTGCTGCAGTGATACTAAGTAGGTGGGACAGAAATCTAACATTCACCTTTATTGAGAGGTTCTGTATATCAGCTCTGTAAGATGATATAAAAAGTATTTGTCTTAGGGCCCAACCCTGCTATCTTTGTGCACGTGAAAGTCCTGTTGAGTTCAATGGCAGTTTTGAGTTTGAATCTGACAAGATCAGGCTATATAGATGCAGCTTCAGAATGAAGTTCCCTGGTAAAAGAATCTTCCTTCAGCAGATCAGGAAACAACATATTAAGGGCCTGGTCCTGCAATCCTTACTTATGTGAGTAACCCTGACTCATAAAAGAGTGCTTATAGGAGTGAGGATTTCCAGGATTGGGTTCTAACTCACTGCACTTCTAATATCTGATCTGGCTGGTAGATTCAGTAGCCAAATGATAATCCTCAGAGGGTCTGTGTGCTTTGTGTGTTCAGTTATTAAACCAGCTAGCAATCTTTCTACTGCATGCTGTAGAAGCACTAAACTGAATTCCCAACCATAAATTGTACTGTACATTGTCACCAGAATTCCAAACTATAGTCACGTGTTTTCAGTTTAACTATTATTTGTATGTGTGTGTTTAGGTTTTTAAAGAATGTTTTTGAATGAGGAAAAGGCATATTTACTTACCTATTTATAGGATGAACTTTTTTCTTGTTTCTAAATCAGAATTGGGAGCAGTTATTAAAGTTACTGTCATGTCTTTGAATAGTGTCTTAGTTCTGTTGTCTCTTCCACTCTCACTTGCCATTATTTGGTATTTTAATAAGTGGTCCATAATGTCATTTAGGAAAAGTGTCTTTTGTGGTCTCTCATCACAAGGAATCCCATTTGCATTTGCCTTATATGTTTCACTTGTATAACAGATTCATTTCATGTTTTGTTTACTGTTTTAAAAATAGTCTTAAAAGCAAAGAATATTGTTACTCAGAAATGCAAAGCTCTTCAATAAAAAATGAATTCCAAAAATCTGTAATAAAAACTGCATGTCTGCATTTAATGTTTACTTAACTTGCCGTTTCAGGGTACAGTGATGTGCACTGTAATAATAAATTTTTACTATACACAGTTTTCTTCATTTTTTTAAAAATTTTCCATATATTTTGTTGTTGTTGAAACATTTCAGCGTCATGTACTCATTACTCAATTATTTGGAAATATACTGGGAACTGGAATGCCTCTGCAGTATGTATTGCTAATTTAATCCATGTTTAACTTGGATGTAGAGGAGTCCTTGCTAGCAATTTAGTAGGGGTTATGAATTTTGGCTTATGTTTTCACTGCAGAGTTAACTTGAGTCATCTACACTCAAGTTACTTCTCTCAAGTTAGTCTACTTTGAGTGAAAGTGGTCGCTCTGCAAAATAACAGTTGAGCTGCTGTGTTCACACTGGCACTGCAGTTCCTCAGGTGTGGCACTAAGACTTCTGGGGGAATATTTCAGAGTCTTTGCACTGTGGTAGACTGAGCTGGTCTATGAATACTTTTCCAGTGAAGTGTGGGATTTCTGTCTGTCATTTCTGGGTACACTTGGGGAACAGTGGGAAAGCATTGGAGGACTAGTAGTACTCCAGTGGAAGCAGCCTGAATCCACACTACACAGTGGCTATGTTAGCAGCTGAGCAGTACTAACTCGAGCTTTAGATTACAATCCTCTTTATAACAGAAGACCGTTATCAGATTCCCACCTCACTCTTCTTTTCTCAAGACTTAACATGCCCAGTTTTTTTAACTTTCCTAATAGGACAGGATTTCTAAACCTTTTATCATTTTTGTTGCTTTGCTCTGGTCTCTAATTTGTCCACATCTTTCCTAAAGTGGGGTGCCCAGAATTGGACACAGTACCCCCAATGAAGCCTCGCCCATGCCAATTTGACAATTAAATTACCTCCTGTCTTACTTACAACACTCCTGTTAATACACTTCATGTGAGCCTTTTTTGCATCTGCATCACATTGACTCAATTGGTGATCCATTATAACCCAGATCCTTTTCAGCAGTACTATCACCTAGTCCATTATTCTCAATTTTGTAGTTATGCATTTGATTTTTCCTTCCTAAGTGAAGCACTGTGCACTTGTCTTTATTGATTTCCATCTTGATTTCAGATCAATTCTCCAATTTGTCAAGGACATTTTGAATTAGTTTTCTTGTCCAAAGTGCTTGCAACCCTTCCCTGCTTGGTGTCATCCCCAAATTTTATAAGCATACTCTCCATTCTTCTATCCAAGACATTTTTGAAAATATTGAACTGTACTGGACCTAGGACTGACCCACATGGGGCCACAGTAGATATGTCCTCTCAGTTTGACAACAAACCACTGATAACTACTCCTTTGAGTATGATCTTTCAACCAGCTTTGCACCCACCTTATAGTAATTTAATCTAGACCACATTTCCCTAGTTTTTTTTGAGAATGTCATGTGGGATTGTGTCAAAAGCCTTATTAAAATCAGGATATATCCCATCTACTGCTTCCCCGCCCACCCCCATCCAGTGGGCTAATAACTCTGACAAAGAAAGAAATTAGGTTTGGTTTGGCATGATTTGTTTGTTAGGTTTTCCTTAAAATTCATCATGCTGTTCCCTAACTTAAGGGATCTGCAAAGAGAGGGAAAAGTAGGTTTCACTGACAAGATCAGGCTATACAGATGCAGCTTCAGAATGAAGTTATTTTTGGCTATAGATAGGCAGATATGAGAGAGAGAGAGAAAACTGGAAAGTTTTTATATATATAATATTTTTGTTTCAACATTAGTACCCTGACACTGTGGATGAATGGACAACTATTAGGTTTGACAAAAATACTAAGGAAATTAAATCTGATTGAGAGGGGAAGTGATTTTTATTCCTATAATTTAAGCCCTTTTAACACTTGTTTAACTAAGACACTTAATGGAAAGGCTCTTTGTAAGGATTCAACACTGTGCCTGTTAAACTCTTAGGGCTAGTCTACACTGGCACTGCTAAAGCGCTGCCATGGCAGAGCTTTCACATGCGTTGTGTGGTCATGGCGCAGCCTTGTGTGGTCCACGAGGGCTGTAGCTGGTGCACGGTCTACACTGGCGCTTTACAGCGCCGAAACTTGCTGCGCTCAGGGGGGTGTTTTTTTCACACCCCTAGCAAAAAAGTTGCAGCGCTGTAAATTGCCAGTGTAGACAAGCCCTCAGTTCCACTACCGCTGGCTCTGCACTGTGGCTGCATGCCCACATTCCTTTCAAGTCCTAGGTTTGGTTCTGCTATGATCCACAAAACTGGCAAACCCAGCAGGTACTTAAACTCACTGGACTGCAAAGTCATTCTCTCTCTCTCTCTCTCTCTCTCTGCGGCCCAATGACTGTTCCACTGTGGATAAATACTTAAATAGTCACTGAACCAGAGAGCAAGTGTGGTAGGAGAGAATGACTTTGTGGTCTAGTGGTTAGGGCACATACATGGGAGGTAAGAGGCCCTAGCTCCATACCCCTGCCCCAATCACTCATCTATCCACAATGGAACAGTTTCAATTAGTGAGACTGTTTTCCAAGAAAGGGAATATACAGAATATGAAAGTAATTCATGTGTCGTAAGAGTAGGATGCAGTACTGTCCCATGGTGGAAGAAAGATGATATGAGGTAGTACTACCAACAGAAAATAATCACAGTTAAACCAAAAATGATTATTAATTACTATACTCATTGCCTTTTATTGAAGGTCCCACATAAATAAAACTGCTCAATGAATATAACAATATAATATTTCTAGATATACTGTATTAGAGAAAAATCACCTCATGCCAAAGATGATACAAAAATATGTATGAATTACTTTGTTTAATAAAAGACCGCTGAGAAACATGGAAAACAGTAAGTTGGCTTTCAGAACAGAAGAGGGTTAGAAGGCCTTTAGGACATCTATCTTCTAGTTTGGTTGGTTGAAAAACTGCTTTTGAATGGTAGTGTGTAGTCTATCAAAGAAGACCTGAATCTGCTATACTGTAATATTAAAACACAAAAATACATAAGATTTATTTACCCTGAATAATTAACAAAACAATTAAGAAATAAATATATTTAGTATATTTGGTTCCTGAAGAATTGTTGGAGTTCAGATCTGGATACACCCTTTAGACAGTAATTTCCTCTCTTGCAGGCTTGTCTATTGATGCCATCTTCAGAAACTTCCAAACTTCTTCATTTTCAGTTGCTTCATATAACATCTCAAAGTCCTAAAAGAAATGCAAATCCATGTGCTAATGGCATTAAATCCCAATTCTGTTTTTGTAAAACCCGATATGTCTGTGTGCTTTCTCAGCAGTAACACCTGCGTACACTAACCTCTGGCAAGATTGTTTTTGTCTTGCACAAACATCATTCCAACATATTCCAATTCATAACTCTGATGATATGAAGATTTCAGAAAGTGTGACCATCTGCATTTATTGCACACACAACTACCTAATGTCAAATCCATGGTCAGTAAATGCTGGCCATCTCCTTACTCCCAACAAATTACAAGATAACTTAAACTAAATGGAACTTTTGGACTGATTACTAACAGTGCCATATCCATGTTAAAAGCCTACTGCATAAAAAACATATTACAATTTGTTTTGTATAGCATCTTTCATACAGCAGTATGAAGTCTTTCCTCTGTTACAGTTGTGTAACTCCCAATGAACAGTTGGAGTTTCACCCACCTAAATAAGGGTAAAACTCAGCCTCTGTGGCTAAATTTTGTCTCTGTACAAGGAGGAAAAAGCATGCAGACAGCCACTAAGGCCTTGTCTACACTGGAATTTAGTCATTGCTATAGATTCACTGATACCAACCTCTAGTGAGATTTGCACTGCGGAAACTTACCCTGTCTTGAAACTGGGTAAAATGTATCTGCAGAAATCATCTACACTAGTGGTTTGCATCAGTGCAGCTACACTGGTGCCTAATCGCACTGTAGACCAGACTCAAAGCTAGCACAAGCAACCTTGTATGTGATGTAATTAGCCAGAAAAAAGCCCAATTAATATTCTGAGGCATGCACCATGGTTTAAGGGATTTGGTTTGCTGAAAAATGACATGGCTAGCAACTCCAGCAGAACTCCTTGTGAACAAGGTGCTCTCAGTAGTATCTGTGATGCCCTTCGCTGTGCAGGCTGGAGGAGGTAGTTTCCAGTCCCTAAAATGCATGGTTAAAATGTTTCGTCTTTTTTAAAATACTGTTATTGTGTTTATCTGATAGCTGAAGTGAATTAGCATGCAAAATTCATTCAAGGCATGCAAAATTCTCTACAGACATACTTATTGTATACCTTATTGTTTAAAAACAAAATCTAGATTTTTTTTCTTACTCCACAGTAGTCATCACCATTGAATATCTGAGGAGGTATTGCATTAGGATTACCAGCCTTCGCCCTCATCTCTTGAAGCAGTTGTTCACTGAGGGATACATCTATTAACTCGTACTTTGTTTTGTTAATGTCCAAAATGCGAGTAACTTCTGCCTGTTTCTGCTTCACCTAGATAAAAAAGACAAATGTTAAAAACAGGCTTTTATTCCTGTTAACAGCCCCACTTGTTTTAATTTTTTTTAAAATAATTCCCTCTCACTGAAATATCATTCTACCTAAATAGCTAATCAAAAACAAGTTAGGAAAGCTCATGTGCAGTATATATTGCTCAGATTTTCCCTTTTAAGTTGTTTTGTTCAGACTGGAACTTGGCACACATACTCTCAGCCTGTGAAAGATTTGTTTCCAAATATTTTTAACAAAATTAGTTGAATATTTTCAGGTTTCAAGGATCATTTAAGAACCTTATGGGGGTCAGAGATCCCATCTCTTCATGGTGGGGGTGCAGCCTTTGTAGGTGGGAGGACCCTATTTCACTGCTCACCATGTGGGGGTGCGGGAAAGTCATGTTCAAGGTGGGTGGGAGGTTAGGGTGGTGCTGCCCTATGTGGGTACTGGAGTCATGCTTGATGCTAGCAGTGACTATGAAGTTGAGAGGGCCCCTCTTGGTTCTGGTGCGTGGATGGCGAAGTCCCTCTTGGTGCTGCTAGGTGGGTGGAGGTGCAGCCTCCCATGTGTGGAACTGGGCCCTTTCTTGGTGGTGGAGGTGCAGCCCACTGTGGGTGGAACTCAGGTCCCCCAAGAGGCTCTTGGTACTGGGGGTGCAGTCCCGTAGGGGAGGTGCTGGGCCCCAGGGTGTTGGTGGAGGGGTGCAGCCCTGAGGGGGTGGCGCTGGTGGGGAGGGGCGCAGCCCCAAGGGGGTGGCGCTGGGCCCTGTGTGCAGACCTGTGGGGGCGGCGCTGGGCCTTGGGTGCTGATGGGAGGGGGGGTGCACCCCTGAGGGGCTGGCGGCGGGGGGGGTGCAGCCCTGAGGGGGAGGCGCTGGGCCCCTAGGTGCTGGCGAAAGAGCGGGGGGGAGGTTGCCCCGCTCACCTGCCTGGATCCGGTGACGCTGGTGTAATAGACCCTAATGGTGCCCATGGTGAGCGGGCCAAGCCACTCCGTCCCCGCCCGGCCCCTCCTCCCTCACAGGCCGCGCGCCACACGCGGTTGCTAAGGCAACGAACGGCTGCCGGCGCGGAAGGGCCAGGCTCGTTTCTTGCTTCTGATTGGCCGATCCGGGCTGTCAGTGAAAGTCAGCCCTGCCCCTCAGCTCCTGGCCTGCTGCTCAGGTCTGCGGGCTGGTGGTCGGATTGCGGTGCGCGCGCGCCGGGGAGCGCTCTGGTTTGCCGAGCCTGGCTGGGCCGAAGGGGGGAGCAGCTGCTACTGTACCGCCCGCCCTCCCGCGCCGCGTCTCCCGCAAGGCCAAAGCGGGCGGCTACTCACCCCCACCTCCTTGCAGCGCCCTGGTTTGGGAGGCCCAACCCCGAGCAGGCGGCCTCCCGCCCTGCCCGGTGTCTTCTGGGCTCCCCACCAGCTGCCTTCCCTGCCCGACCCAGCCACGCCTCCATGGCTGTGGGGCTCCTGCCCCTGTGACTTGGGAGTGCCAAGGAAGGCGAGGGCTGCCCCCATTTCCAGCCCTGTCATTTGTGGGACCCCCTGCCCCACCAGCAGGTGTGGTGCCTCCTCCCACAAGACCTGCTATGCACACCAGGGCCCCAGGGAAGAGCTGAATCCCCTCAGCCCCCCTACTGCTCATGTCCCCATTCCCAAGCAAGAAGAGGGCAGCCCCGGATGTGACCCTACAATACACAGGGCTACTAAGCCGGAATGGGGCTCCTCTTGGGGCTCAGATGTCAGCAGCCCCTGCCTTGGCCCACATTTCACAGATTCAGCAGTGAGCCTGAAGATCTGTGACATCCCACAGACTCTCAGCGTCCCAGCAAAGCCAGCCTGGTGATTTGTGAGGCCCTGTTGCCGGCACCCAGTGCCAGAGGCGAACAACAGCAAGGTTCGTTGCCCGGTGTGTGTCACCCAATGATCACAATGGGGTGGAGAAGCAGAAAAGTTTATTTGCAGCTGCAAACAAGGTACAGGGAGAATAGAATCTCAAATCCTGCACACAGAGCAGGAAGTTACACAGGCTTTTATACATCCTTTCTTCAGCATACTTATCTAATAGCAAGCTGCCCTAAGTATCCATATAGCCAGCCAATCCAGTTACCAGCTAGTTCCCTTGTTCTCAGTACCATCTGTTAAACCATACATAAAGCTGCTTTATTCAGCATTGTTCTTCCATATCTGCCCTGTTTGGCCTTGTTTAGTTTCAGGCAGTCTGACTCTGCAACATATTGTTGCAGATCCTCAGCATAACTGCTGCGAGTGCCTCCAGGCGGGGGGGGGGGGGCAAGGACACTTGGGCCTAGTGCGAGGGGGCTTCATCGACACTCGTGGTCTTCTGTCCCCTCGAATTACCTAGTGGTCATGCCCAGTGTCCCCAACAGCCCTATTTGTGTATCTTTGTTTTTTTTAAAGACATATGGGAATGTCAGGCCAGCAAAAGAGGTTAGGTGATAAAGAGATCTGGGTTCCTTTCCCAGCTGTGTGCTGTGGACTTCAGAGCAAAATATCTGCTGATGAAATGTCAGTGGCTGCAATTGCTTCATGTCTGACTTTGGGCAATTTGTGAGACTTTTTCCCCATCTCTGAAATGGAATAACAGTGCCTGCCTCACAAGGAGTATGGCGAAGCTTAATTTGTTAATGTGCTTTGAGATCCCAAATGGAAAAAGGCTATTAGAATTCCAAATGTTACTGCTGTATAAATCCAAATTTATTTGTGCCTGCTATATCTTTGATTTGCCACAACTTGTAAAAAGGGAAGAGACAAGTGGGTTTTGAAGAAGTATGAGAGTAAGCACTAAATAAATTTGTCATTTTTGTCTATGAAAAATGCAACTAGGCCCCAAAGGTAATGAACAATGGTAGGAGCTGAAACAATACAGTCAGTAGGTGGTGCGAGAGAGACATGATGCTGTAGCACAACTAAAAATCTCACAAGGAACATGTAGTTATGTTTACACTAGGGGAACAGGAGGGGGCATCTGCATAGATTTATTTTGTGAAAGTGACACACCATTCTTCTCCCTAACACCTCCTGGACCCAAGACTATGCAGGGGAACTCCCTTTTGGGGGCCCATAATAAACACAAAGATTCTGAGTGTTGCAGCCTGACAAAGAAAGATGGAAGGCTTCTTGCACCTTTCTGCCATTCATGCAGGGGCATATCAAGCCACAAGCCTGGTATGATTTAGGGCTCAATCCTGTTTCAGTGGGGGAGGGATCCTGCTTTTAGTGATTTTTATGGAAATGTGTGTGTGTTTGTTAATAACGTATATACTTTCACAACAAACAGATAAACAGAAGAGGCCTCACTGAGAAATTGGAACACATGGGAGGTGAGCTGGCAGTTGCTTCAGGAACTGAGAGGTATTAGAGGAGTTGAAAGAGATTAGGGTTGCAAAAAATGCAATGTTGGTGCAGTGGGTGAAAGAGGCAGATAGACCTACACCAGGTAAGTTTGAAAAATCAATCAGTGTAATCAATTTCTATTTCATATTTGTGTATAAAAGGTATAGTCTTAGCTGAAATATGGGATATATTTTGATTTTTTTGGAAAAGATTATGTTAAATCTCACCCTGAGCTGCTACTAATTATAATTTATTTTTAATGAAGCACCATAGGTGTGCATGGCACTTTACAAGTAAATAAAAATGAGAGGTCTCTGCCTCACGTAGCTTACAATCTGAAAAAGTCATAATACTGCAGGAGATGACAATAAACAATGGCTGAAGACAGAGATATGGGAGAATGAGTCGCAACAGAGGAAGATCATAAGATATGCCTGTTTTTACCTGTTCATCATTTTAGCATGGGACCAGAAGGAAGGCTTCATTCTGTTTGCATTTTTCTTACCTGAGTTTCTATAGTCAGATATCTTCATATATCTCTTTCCTTATAAATTCTGTTTAATGTTTTAGACTTGTCATTCAAAGACCTGCACTAACACATTTATGTGACTTTGTCACTGTTTACACTTCCACTTGTAACCTGCATTCACCTTCTCAGCTATCTTTGATGTCTCCTTTACCACATTTTGTTAGTTTAAATATTGGGTCTTTGGTCGAGGCTGACACATTACGGTGGAAATACCTTCTTCCTCCCTCTGTGTGCTGCTGACTCCTTGGCACACTTTAATACAACGTTTAATTGTTGTTATCCTCCAAATTATTATTTTACCAAATCTGGTTGTCTGTGTGTTATCCCTGTATTGCATGGCTCTAATTCATAAACAGTACTGCAATTAACACTAATTTAGTAGCCTCAGTAGGGGAGCCCTGGAGTGAGTTGTATGGAGTTTGAACTACCCCGTCTGCTCTCAAAGTTGATTCCTCCAGGTCAGGGTTGAGACGTGTTAATGAAGATGGAGAAATGCTTATTTGTTATCAGCACTGAATCTGTTGTGTAGAAAGAGAATTTCACTCATGATGATATAGTGGAAATAGTTACTTCAAATAACCTTTAAATATTAATTATTTTTATGAGTTCAGTTGGACTCAGCTCTGTATTAAATGTGTTTCTTACATTCACTTAGAACACAGTATGGATGTATAAGGGAATACATAGAATCATAGAATATCAGGGTTGGAAGGGACCCCTGAAGGTCATCTAGTCCAACCCCCTGCTCGAAGCAGGACCAATTCCCAGTTAAATCATCCCAGCCAGGGCTTTGTCAAGCCTGACCTTAAAAACCTCTAAGGAAGGAGATTCTACCACCTCCCTAGGTAACGCATTCCAGTGTTTCACCCCCTCTTAGTGAAAAAGTTTTTCCTAATATCCAATCTAAACCTCCCCCACTGCAACTTGAGACCATTACTCCTCGTTCTGTCATCTGCTACCATTGAGAACAGTCTAGAGCCATCCTCTTTGGAACCCCCTTTCAGGTAGTTGAAAGCAGCTATCAAATCCCCCCTCATTCTTCTCTTCTGCAGGCTAAACAATCCCAGCTCCCTCAGCCTCTCCTCATAAGTCATGTGTTCCAGACCCCTAATCATTTTTGTTGCCCTTCGCTGGACCCTCTCCAATTTATCCACATCCTTCTTGAAGTGTGGGGCCCAAAACTGGACACAGTACTCCAGATGAGGCCTCACCAATGTCGAATAGAGGGGAACGATCACGTCCCTCGATCTGCTCGCTATGCCCCTACTTATACATCCCAAAATGCCATTGGCCTTCTTGGCAACAAGGGCACACTGCTGACTCATATCCAGCTTCTCGTCCACTGTCACCCCTAGGTCCTTTTCCGCAGAACTGCTGCCTAGCCATTCGGTCCCTAGTCTGTAGCGGTGCATAGGATTCTTCCATCCTAAGTGCAGGACCCTGCACTTATCCTTATTGAACCTCATCAGATTTATTTTGGCCCAATCCTCCAATTTGTCTAGGTCCTTCTGTATCCTATCCCTCCCCTCCAGCGTATCTACCACTCCTCCCAGTTTAGTATCATCTGCAAATTTGCTGAGAGTGCAATCCACACCATCCTCCAGATCATTTATGAAGATATTGAACAAAACCGGCCCCAGGACCGACCCTTGGGGCACTCCACTTGATACCGGCTGCCAACTAGACATGGAGCCATTGATCACTACCCGTTGAGCCCGACAATCTAGCCAGCTTTCTACCCACCTTATAGTGCATTCATCCAGCCCATACTTCCTTAACTTGCTGACAAGAATACTGTGGGAGACCGTGTCAAAAGCTTTGCTAAAGTCAAGAAACAATACATCCACTGCTTTCCCTTCATCCACAGAACCAGTAATCTCATCATAAAAGGCGATTAGATTAGTCAGGCATGACCTTCCCTTGGTGAATCCATGCTGGCTGTTCCTGATCACTTTCCTCTCATGCAAGTGCTTCAGGATTGATTCTTTGAGGACCTGCTCCATGATTTTTCCAGGGACTGAGGTGAGGCTGACTGGCCTGTAGTTCCCAGGATCCTCCTTCTTCCCTTTTTTAAAGATTGGCACTACATTAGCCTTTTTCCAGTCATCCGGGACTTCCCCTGTTCGCCACGAGTTTTCAAAGATAATGGCCAATGGCTCTGCAATCACAGCCGCCAATTCCTTCAGCACTCTCGGATGCAACTCGTCCGGCCCCATGGACTTGTGCACGTCCAGCTTTTCTAAATAGTCCCTAATCACCTCTATCTCCACAGAGGGCTGGCCATCTCTTCCCCATTTTGTGATGCCCAGCGCAGCAGTCTGGGAGCTGACCTTGTTAGTGAAAACAGAGGCAAAAAAAAGCATTGAGTACATTAGCTTTTTCCACATCCTCTGTCACTAGGTTGCCTCCCTCATTCAGTAAGGGGCCCACACTTTCCTTGGCTTTCTTCTTGTTGCCAACATACCTGAAAAAACCCTTCTTGTTACTCTTGACATCTCTCGCTAGCTGCAGCTCCAGGTGCGATTTGGCCCTCCTGATTTCATTCCTACATGCCCGAGCAATATTTTTATACTCTTCCCTGGTCATATGTCCAACCTGCCACTTCTTGTAAGCTTCTTTTTTATGTTTAAGATCCGCTAGGATTTCACCATTAAGCCAAGCTGGTCGCCTGCCATATTTACTATTCTTTCGACTCATTGGGATGGTTTGTCCCTGTAACCTCAACAGGGATTCCTTGAAATACAGCCAGCTCTCCTGGACTCCTTTCCCCTTCAAGTTAGTCCCCCAGGGGATCCTGGCCATCCGTTCCCTGAGGGAGTCGAAGTCTGCTTTCCTGAAGTCCAGGGTCCGTATCCTGCTGCTTACCTTTCTTCCCTGCGTCAGGATCCTGAACTCAACCAACTCATGGTCACTGCCTCCCAGATTCCCATCCACTTTTGCTTCCCCCACTAATTCTACCCGGTTTGTGAGCAGCAGGTCAAGAATACATAATACAGCAGAAAGTATGCATTTCTGATAGTTGGGGCAAAGCAGTGGAGGATCTACACAGAGCACCTTCAAATCCTTGTTCAAGCAGTGCACATGACATAGGTAGTGAAACTCTTCAGAGGAATTTAGAAAGAGGAAATGGACAAGTCACTGACAAGGGAACATGGTTGATTTGGGTCATGCAAATGCAGATTCACATAGCCAAAACTGGACCGTGTCTGTTTCTCACCCTATATCCAGCAGTAGCTGATAGTGGACAGATACAAGGATGCTGGGATTCTGGAACATATGTTGGAGCTGAGAATTCTTTACCTTAGCAGTGCTGCTTTGAAGATCATTTCCTCCCAAAGCACTTTTTCAGGATAAGGGCCTATGAGATATTGTAGTTGCCATATAGTTTACATGCACTGATTTTTGGAGCCTGGATTAATTTGGATTTGAATATTTGTAATGCATAATCCCATCTGTGTTAAAAATCCACAGCATAGTCCAGTTTCTCACATAACCAACTTCACTTTGCACAAGAGGAGAGCTGGAATGTGTTTGGTTTAGCTGTCTCTAGTTTCATTCAAATAAATGTTTGCATACAAGCGCATTATTATTTTGTATCACCTCAAAGTGTGCTATCAGTTGCTTTATCAAATACACAAAAAGACAAGGTCCTTTTGTAGAAGAGTTTACATAAAGGATGGTGTCTTTGCTGAAGAGGGGACAGCAGTCATTCTAACAAGATTAGATTGGAAAAACAAGGAAGGCAAAAGTTATATAGGACCTTGCTTCTAGTTTATTTTAATTCATAGTTAGGATACATTGTCTGTAATACTTTACTACTGAGGAATCAATAAATTGGTTGTGGTTATTGAAATGTAAAAAGAGGGTACCACATTCAGGATGTCTAATGTATTACACATTTGTGTGTTTCATTTGTACATTTTCCCTCCATCAGCATATGGTTAAGAGCTTTATTCTAGTACTCGCAAGACAATTAAATTCTTACTATCCACCAAAGAGAAGGAAACTTGATAAGGGAACCAACCAAAAACTCTTTCAGTGCCTGTGTATCTATTAACTAGTGCTTGAGAGCATTGTACAATGTTAACAAACTGCTTTCCCACTTGGAAATCCACATGACTTGTCAGTCATATCAGTTGGTCACTGACTGATTTGAAAACCAAAACTACATTTGTCTTCTGCCGTTCATGAGCTTGTTTGTTCTATGACTTGGGACTAGTGGCACTTTATATTTTGTTCCGTACTATTTCATTGGAAGGTTTAGGTTTTGTTAGTTTTTTTGCCTGATTAAACAGATCTCACAATATAATCTTAGTTCTGCAACTAAAGAAAGTACCACTGTGTTCTTGTAAAACAGCACTTTAATTTAAAGAAAAAGGGAAGTAACTAAGTTAGTGAAGGATAGACATTTCCCAATTTGCGGTCTCATTTTCCTGTATCTGGAGACTCCCTGTAATGTATGTCAATGGAAAAAACTGAGGAGCTGAGCCACCCATAAGTTTTACATTTTAGTTTTGGAGAGTTTGCTATCCTGATTATGCCAAATGAATCTTTGTGTGTACTTTAACATACTACAGTCCATTCAGTGATAGGGCACTTGTCTGAAACTGAATTAGCTTCATATGTCAAGTAATCCAGTTACAAATGGAAATGCTATAGGAAGAATAAGCCTTCTATTTTCCACAATAGGAACCTCATTTCCAAGAAAATTTGAAGTTATCAATTTAACTTGGCTATTCAGTTTCATACAGCAAATTATAATCTCTGCCCCTGCTGAATGAAACCTAATGGAAAATTGTAAATTAATTCCTGGATTTTATGTTTTCATTTTATCCACTGAAAAAATTAACTGCGTAAGCAATATAAAATGGTAGAAAACAATACTGATTGCCTTGTCTATGTATAATATATTACAACATAATCCTGTAGGCTTCTGAGGGGCAGATATCTCACTGAGGTATCTGGGAGTTTTTACTGTGGGCCAGATTCTGATTTACAGTACTAAAATGGAATGCGAGTAAAGTTCTCAACGAATAGTCCCATTGGGAGACAAACACTTGCAAGATCTCTATCAAGCATTTTACAACTACAATACCCACCTGCTGAAGTGAAGAAACAAATTGACAGAGCCAGGGGAGTACCCAGAAGTCACCTACTACAGGACAGGCCCAACAAAGATAATAACAGAAAGCTACTAACCATCACCTTCAGCCCCCAACTAAAACGTCTCCAATGCATCATCAAGGATCTACAACCTATCCTGAAGGACGACCCATCACTCACAAATCTTGGGAGACAGGCCAGCCCTTGCCTACAGACATGGTTGCAATAAAAAAAATCAGATATTTAGATGTCTAAATGCTATAATATGTCACTGCAATTCATCGGGAGTGCAGAATTAGTCTGCAAATTTGGAGGCTAGTTTTGAAATTCAGCCTCTAATTTGAGCTGCCTTTGCTAACCCATGAAGCTCACAATTACTGCTTCCCTCCTGGCTTGGAGGAAAGAGAAATGAGAAAGTGAGAGTTAGTTTTCATTTAAAAACAAAATAAGTTTCTAGCCTTTTTCCTGACAAAGAAAACGTAAGAAAACCAATATGAGTTTTGAAAGCTTGTCACTGATTTTTTTCCAAGATTGTATGTTATCCACAGTGCCTTGGCTTCCAGTCAGCCGTGGTTGGCCTTTAGGGTCTGGAGAAGTGTAACCATGGGTTGTTTCATTATTGCGACGATCCCAAATCATGTCACAGCTGAGGTAGTCAGTGGTCCCAGTTTACAGTTGCTAGGACTAGGACACTGCAAACTGCCAGCTGTGTGCACTCTGGCTACAAGGAGGGACATAGGAGCGTGATCTACTGGCTCTGTTTTGAGCATTACATTTTAAAAAACAATCTTTATATTTTTACCCTCACTTATGCATGTTCTGTACCTGCAAATGAAAAAACTTGTACCTACAAACATTTGCCTCTGCAAATCAGAGAGACATCTAATTTAATAACTAAATTCAGATTTTTGTAGATGGAAATGAACAATAAAAGCCTTGATTGCGTCCTTGCATTTTGAAATGTACTACGAGCATAGCCAAAGGTATCGAATGGAAATCTACTAGATACACTAATCTTTTAGTAATCTTAGTTATTTTAGGTTTCAGAGTAGCAGCCGTGTTAGTCTGTATTCGCAAAAAGGAAAGGAGTACTTGTGGCACCTTAGAGACTAACAAATTTATTTGAGCATAAGCTTTCGTGAGCTACAGTTCAAGAGACTGCTGAATTGGAATTAATTTGCAAACTGGATACAATTAACTTAGACTTGAATAAAGACTGGGAGTGGATGGGTCATTACACAAAGTAAAACTATTTCCCCATGTTTATTTCCCCACCCCCCAATGTTCCTCAGACATTCTTGTCAACTGCTGGAAATGGCCCACCTTGATTATCACTACAAAAGGTCCCACCCCGACCCCCCCCCCCGCTCTCCTGCAGGTAACAGCACACCTTAAGTGATCACTCTGGTTACAGTGTCTATGGTAACACCCATTGTTTCATGTTCTGTATGTATATAAATCTCCCCACTGTATTTTCCACTGAATGCATCCGATGAAGTGAGCTGTAGCTCACGAAAGCTTATGCTCAAATACATTTGTTAGTCTCTAAGGTGCCACAAGTACTCCTTTTCTTTTAGTTATTTTAGTTGACATATTGCAAAATTAAAAAGCAGTCATGCTGGTTGTGAACATTACACCAGAATCAGTCCCATCCAGACACATTTTTTACATCCTCTTTTGGATTTGGTGTCACTACTTGTTTACAGACCACACAGTTTTCCACTGGTGACAGCACTTCTGTTTTAAAAGTTGTGCAAAAAGAGGAACAAAATTGTGTGTGCTCCAGTTATTGCTTACACGGTCTGCAGTGACTAAAGAGAATTTATTCTGAGGTTGCTGCAGTTGTTGTAATGGAATGTTAGGTTATGTGACTATCCACATCTTATACTGATTCTGAAAGGGTAAGTGTGGTTTTCTTTAGTTTGTCTCAGCTTATTTTTTGTTAAGAAATTTAGAGTCACTTAAAATAACTTAAAAAGTATATGTATTTTTTAAAGTATGCTTGCTAAGGTTCCCATATTTTTGACATTTTGCTCAGCTACCAAGCATTAGAGGCAAACTTTTCATAAGTAACTAAGGTTGGATCCTCAAAACTGTTTAGGTGCCTAACGCCTATTGAAATCAATTGGAGTTAGGCACCTAAATACCTTTGCACATTTGGGCTTAACACCCATTTTCAAAAGTGAGTCAGGCACGTAGTTGCCTAAGTTCCACTGACTTTCAATGAGATGTAGGCTCATAAGTGCCTGTGTCTCTTTTGAAAATGACACTTAGGCATTTAAAAATTTTTTAGCCTGCATCTTTGCATGTGTGAGAGGTATATAAAATAAAGTAAAATGGTTAAATTATTTTAACTGCTGAAGGATCTGTGTACTGTACTTTTTCTGAGCACTGTTGTTAGTCTTATGACATCTGAATTAGAGTGCGCATATTAATATGTGGAGTACTTAAAATCAATTCTGCTTTGGAAAGAGTTATTTTAAGGTTGGTTCTGGTATCACACCTGCTCTACAGAAGTGTCGCTTTATATTAAACAGCTATCCCCTGATTTAAATGTTTTTAAAGCGCTGATGTGAGCCCTGCTAGCCCAAGTCTGTCAACTCTGGTCTGTGAGGCTGTGAAGACATATCCTGAGTGCTCCAGAGATGCACAAAGGGAGCAGTCCCCTTGTGCTGGGACAACATTGCACAGGCATTCAAAGTGAAGAGGAGACTTTTGGTGTTCTCCTGCTTCATTCTCCCACATAAGGGTCAGCCACAATGTGGTCCTCAGTGAGTGTGGGTCAGAGCCAACTCCCACTGAAGTCAAAGGAAAGAATCTTATTCATTTCAATAGGAGATGGATTGAGCCCTAAAGGCTTGCTCTATCTAAGTCAATTGGAGTTTTACCACCGACTCCAAAGGGTGCTGGATCAAGTCTTGTGTGAGCAAATACAATTAAAAGGCGAAGCTAAGGAATCACAAAATATAGTAGCTAGCTATTTTGAGATGTGTACTCTAGTTTTTAATTATTCATAATAATGTTTCATAATGTACTAGTGAATGAATGCAGTGAATTTAGTAAAATTGTGGACCCTTAGTATACAAGAGCTCATTACCGTATCTGCTTAAATTTTAGCTAGTAGTTCAGCGATATACCCAATATTTTAATGTAAATAAGCAAGATATTCCTGCAGTTAGGGCTCAGTCCAGCAAGGTGCTGAGCATTCTTGGGAAGTGATGAACATCTTCAGCTCACACTGAAGGCAGTGGAAGTTGCGGCCACTCAGTATCTCACAGGGGAGCTCAACACCTGGCATGATTAGCCCCTTAGTTTACTGAAAAAAGGGTGTAGAGGATTGATCATCAGTCAGAACTTCAGCTGGTGAAGTCAGTTGTGCTCTTGCTTTCAGTAGAACTATGTTGATTTTACGCCAGCTGAGGATCTGGCAGTCGTCACCAAATGAAAAAAGACTTCATTGATTAAATCTTACTGAGAAGAAGTCATGTGCAGAATGTAGCACAGTTGTCACAGTTCAGAAGAAGGGTCCAAGACTGACCTGATATGAAAAATGAAGGATCAAATTATTGGCCTAACTCTTTTCTTTTTCAGAATAATTTTTGTTGACATGATGGCTTTACTTTATCTGGCTATAAAAATGAAATTGGTGAAAACAATTAAGTTACTGTTTGTTAAACTAAAAAACCCCACACATTGCAGTCTTCATGAAGCATACATTTTTAAAAAACTTTATCAATTAAGGATAAAATAGCCCTTACTGTTACGCTTATTTTGCATTACTGTACATGGCTTCTTTGTATTTGCAGGAATATAGTGAACTCTGCTGGTTAGTGAGCCTCTAGCACTGATCAACATGTTGGCAGAAGGCATCCTAACTGGAATCATATACAAAGAAAGAAAACAGAACATAGATAAACCCCACAAATGTCACATAAACAGAAAAGATGAAAGGGAACCCTGGAAAGATCACCTTATAGATACACCAGCAATTAAAGATTTTGCTTCAGAATCTGAGAAGCAGAATGAGATCATTGCAAAAGGTAGCAAAATAGAAAACAATAAAGATCTTCAGTGGACATCTAAAGAAGAGCTACCTGCAAAAGAACATAGTGCTCATGTTAAAGGAACCATATCTGCAGCTTTACATATACCAGGAAGAGAAAAAAATCATGAAATCCAGCTGGATTTGTATAGATCTTGGTCATGCCACAGTATTTATCAAAACTATCCTGACTTACATATTGGAGGAGACCATGTAGGAGGCTATATGCAGGATTCAGGTTGCATTATGGACCACATAAGTGATGAACTTGTTGATGGCCCTGTTTTACTGTCAGGAGATATTCTATTGGGTCATTCCCCTCAAAATGAGCCTCTTGAAAAAACAGCTACAAAGTCCTTGAATGGTGATGAAGGTGGAGAAAGGAGTATGACACTCCACAAGCAGCCTCTTTCGAATTCCGTGCTGAACAATTACATGGATACAAAGGTGCAAGAGCTCTATAAACAGTTTTTTGAAGAGAACCTGACCAGGTGTGGTTCTGTAACAAACCTTCTGACTTCCAGTTTGATCATGAATAACCTAAATCAGATAAACCTTCAGATCTCCCAAGAACAGACTATAGAAAAATCTAAAGCTAGAGAAGTGCTCTTACAGTCTCTAGCTTTGTTTAGTTTCCACAATGCTGCCAGTGGAAACAGCTCTGAATTTAGCACTCCAAATTTACAGTTCTCAAACTCACTAAGCAAGAGAAAGAGCTCCCGGATACAGTTTACATCATGACTGAACTGTTTGGTTACAACAGTGGTTCTCAAACTTTTGTACTGGTGACCCCATTCACACAGCAAGCGTCTGAGTACGAACCCCTTATATTAAAGAAGTGTTTAATTTATATTTAACACCATTATAAATGCTGGAGACAAAGCAGGGTTTGAAATGGAGGCTCACAGCTCGCAACCCCCCATGTAATAATCTCGCGACTACCTGAGGGGTCCTGACCCTTAGTTTGAGGATCCCTGAGTTACAGCCTAGTCTTCAGCTGCCGTCTCTTCTCTTTCAGGATTAGTTTGTGAAATGTACCAAAATTAGACACTACTGACTTCTTAAAATAAATTTTGACATTTAAACCACACTTTGTGGTGCCACTTCATTGCTTGTTACCGGACTAAGATAACGATCATGTGCCTTTGTGTTGTTGAATGTAATCCAAATGAAATTTTTTACAAAATCCTATTGAGCCAGATTTTCAAAGTGGTTTAAGACCAGCTTCTAAAGAGTCCATCCCTGCCAACACCTAGTATGTGAGTAATTATACATAGGACTAGTACTTATTCAGTTAAAGTTAGTCACGTGCATTAATGTAGGTAAGATAGTCCTCTAAGAAATTAATCGAGAACCCAATGAAATCGATGGTTAGACTCACACTGATTTCAGTGGTCTTTGGATCATGCCATAAATTTCAACCCATAATTTTGTGCATTTAAATTTAGAGGTTGCTATTGCAGATTTCACCCATTATGTCTGAGAAAATGGGCTTCTCTTTTGAAAATCCTGTTTAACAATTTGGTTTATTCTGCATAGCATTTTACATATATCAAATGTATATAAAAATGTTTATCAGAAAGGAAACCCAATGAGCACACTCTATAGCAGCGGTGTCCAGTACTTTCGCCACTATCCACATGTGGCTAATAGGCTATTGAATTGTGGCTAATGCATGTGGCTTTTTTATAATGTGGCTAATAAGAAAAATTCAAAACCACAAATGTGGCTAGCAGTGTGGCTAGCATTGAATTTCTATTGGACACCGCTGCTCTATAGAAAGATGTTATGTGCATTTATATGAGGTTAATAATACATGTTTTGTATTATACAGGTAGAGTATATTACGATGGAAAACTACAGATACATCAGCTTCTAAAAATTTAACAGATCAAGTTTATAAAATGTTAAAAGTATTTCAGGTTTCAGAGGAACAGCCGTGTTAGTCTGTATTCGCAAAAAGAAAAGGAGTACTTGTGGCACCTTAGAGACTAACCAATTTATTTGAGCATGAGCTTTCGTGAGCTACAGCTCACTTCATCAGATGTTTACCGTGGAAACTGCAGCAGACTTTATATACACACAGAGAAGTATTTCAGTTACTGTAAAGGTGTCATTTCTATTCATTTAAAATGTCATTTACTTAAATAAAAGTTTCCATATATTATACAACAAAATCCACTCAGATTCCCAGAATATATCAAATAATTACTTCTGCCTACCATTTGCATTATAAAAATAGGACTCCTTGTTGTCTTTTTCTGAAAAATACACCCTTATGACCTCAGCAAGTTAAGTGTGTGTTGCAAGGTTACTGAAACGCAAAGATATTGCAAGTTTTGTTCCTATTACCCTAAATCAGTGGTTCTCAGAGTTTTGTACTGATGATCACTTTCACACAGCAAGCCTCTAAGTGCGACCCCCCCCCTTATAAATTAAAAACACTTTTTATATATTTAACACCATTATAAATACTGGAGGCAAAGCAGGGTTTGGAGTGGAGGCTGACAGCTCGTGACCCCCCATGTAATGAACTCGTGACCCCCTGAGGGGTCCCAACCCCCAGTTTGAGAACCCTTGCCCTAAATGTTACATGCATATTTCATTAGGAAAATTTGTTTACTTCGCCTGCAGCCATCCTTTCCTGCTGCAAAGGTCTTTTGTTGTAAATTATCACTATGTTGATATTATACTATGATGAATGAACTGAAGTTTGATATCTCAATTGTACAAGCAAGTTTTCTCTCAGTGGGTAAGCTACTGCTCTGACACACCAAAACCAATGAGGTATTTTGAGGCACCTGCAGTTCTGTGCCTCCAATCCTGAACTCAGTGGATTTACCAGTGTAAATGCTAGCAGAAAATGTGGCTTTTTATTTAACCTTTAGGCTAATGATAAACTTTCAGAATGCATGCTGTACTGGTAGTTAAACCATTTTATCCAGAGTTACTGATGTCAAGCAACACCTAGATATAGGACGCTGTTTTATAAATTAGTGCTTCTCAGTGAAATTTAATGTGTAATAGTTGATGTAAAACAAAGTATTTTTTTCTTCTGAAACATCTGCTAAACTGTGTAGCACACAGATTCTAAATCTGTCAACCCTCAAAGGGAATGTGAAGGATCTTGTGACGTTTAAGTAATGATATGTCAAATGCTAATATCTTTGTGTTTATAAATCAAGATCCTCTTCATCTGATTGGTACTTTGCAAAGAGTAAAGTGTTTCTTACCTAGCATCTTTATTTATTTTTAATAAGTCATTCATGATTTTGTTGCAAGTCACAATAAAAATATCAACAAGATTTAAAGAACAATTATCAGATGAGACACACTTGAATTCATAAAGGGTCACTTACTCAAGTGAGTTATCTTCATTGGTACTATTCACATTAGTTAAGGCTTCAGGACTGGGGTATAATTTGAGATTGTCAATCCCTTGACCTGTAGAAATCGGGTAACTTGCAGAAACAGTGTATTTCAGTTTCAGTGGAGCAAAATGAGAGCCATATCTTAAGTATCTTTTCAAAACTGGTTCATGGCACAGCATGATGGTACTAGAGATGGAATTAACTGGGTGAAAAAGTGCAGTTTTGGGGGCACCAAAATTATTTGCAAGTTCATATTATATTCAGCAAACAGCTTTGGCTGAAAAAATGATTTTTTAAAAACAGTCTAACCGTTTCATTTTGGCATTTCTGGACTGAAGCATTTTGACTTTTCATTCCAAAATGAGCTTCTTGTTTTGAAAATAGCCAATTTTTTAAAAGGCTTTAAAAAGGGGCTAAAAATCCCAAAGTGAAACTAAACATTTGTTTTGGTGAGAAACCTAAAAAAAATTCCATTTTGAATCAACCCAAAACAATTTCATTTTTAAAAAAATTGGTTCAGCCATTATTTGCCCAGTTCTAGATGTTAAAAGTGGAGGATGATGTACCAGCTTTCTCTTATAGGGCATGGTTTCAAATAATCTGCTAACTATATAGCTGGTCAAATAGTGGGACAGAATGCATAAATATTTCATAGATTTTAAGGCCAGAAGGAATCATCTAGTACAGGAGGTCAGACATCACAGGCCCCGGAACATCACCCACCCACTCCTAGAGTATGCTCTCAACTTCTGGCTGAGTTACTAAAGTCCTCAAATCTTGATTTAAAGCAGAGGTGGGCAAACTACGGCCCCCAGGCCACATCTGGCCCACAGGACCATCCTGCCCTAGCCCCTGAGCTCCCAGCTAGGGAGGCTAGCCCCCAGCCCCTCCCCTACTGTTCCCCCTCCCTTGGAGTTGTGCCGCTTCACGGGCAGCGCAGCTTGCACCCGCCCACCTTCCAGGCTTTCCAATAAGCCTGTCCTGCCACTCTGAGCGGCATGGTAAGGGGGCAGGGGAAGAGGGGGCTGGATAAGGGGCAGGAGGTCCCAAAGGGCGGTTGGATGGGGCCAAGGTTTGGGGGGGGGAGGTCAGGGAACAAGGAGTGTGTGTGGGGGGCCTGTCAGGGGGAGGGGGTGTGGAAAGGGGTCAGGGGGGCCTGTCAGGGGACAGGGAGCGGGGGGGTTAGATAGGGCTTGGGGTCCTGGGGGTAGTTAGGGGCGGGGGTTCCAGGGAGGGGCAGTCAGGGGACAAGGAGCAGAAGACAAGGAGCGGTTGGATGGGTTGGGGGTTCTGAGGGGGGCAGTCAGGGGGCAGGAAGTGGGAGGGGGTGGATAGAGGGCGGGGCCAGGCTTCCCAAACCAGCCCTCCATACCGTTTCGCAACCCCGATGTGGACCTCAGGCTAAAAAGGTTGCCCACCCTGATTTAAAGACTTCAAGTTAAAGAGACTCCACCATTTACCCTAGTTCAAACCAGCAAGTGACCTGTGTCCCATGCTGCAGAGAAAGGTGAAAATCCCCAGGGTCTCTGCCAGCCTGACCTGTGGGGAAATTCCTTCCTGACCCCAAACATGGTGATCAGTTAGACTCTGAGTATGTGGGCCAGACCCACCAGCCAGAGACCTAAGAAGAATTTTCTGTAGTAACTCAGAGCCCTCTAGTGCCCCATCTCTGGCTGTCAGACATATTTGCTAATCGCAGTCACGGATGGGACATATGCCATTGTAGGCAATCATATCATACCATTCATTCCATAAACTTTATCAAGCTCAGTCTTGAAACAAGTGAGGGTTTTTTGCCCCCACTACTCCCCGTGGAAGGCTGTTCCAGAACTTCACTCCCCTGATGGTTAGAAACCTTCATCTAACTTCAAGCCTAAACTTATTGATGGCCATTTTATATCAATTTGTTCATATGCCAGCGCTGGCCATTAATTTAAAGAAGTCCTCTCTCCCGGCCCCTCTGATGTATTTATAAAGATTTCATTTCACTGAGTCTCTTCAAGTCATTAAAACTAGTCTGGATGATTCAGCTGTATTTGATGTCTAATGCTCATATTCAGTTGCAAATACATGTATTTGACATCCAATATGTATATTCAGACTACTCACTTTGAAATCAAATTTCAAACCTCAAACACTGAGTACATCAGGAACTGTGCAGATACTTCAGAGCTATTATTTGTTAATTTAATAGATTCCCATGTTATGGAATTGATTCATAAAGGATTTGTGAAGAAAAAAAAAAAGCTAGTTCACTCAATTATGTGTTTAGGAACTATGGTTTGACCAGGTGAAACGAAAGAGGTAGGCGTTTAAAAATATAACAGACATATTATTAAATTGTTAACTATGTGTATGGTGAGATTATTCAAAACAATTAGGGTTGCAATTTCCTCCGTGCTCTGTTTGGAGGTCTCGTGTTTGAGAATCTTAGGAGAAAGGCCAGATTAACATTATGTGTAGTTTAGCCTGGCCATCTGAAGAGTGAACTCTTTTCTAAAATGGCTGTTTTTATGGATTTTTATATTGCTGAACTGGTTTTATTTTGCTACTCTTTTTTGGTTTCATTTTACATCTGATGATGTTTTGGAACACTTTTTCTCTGAAGATGTTAAAATTTGTGGGTGAGATGATAATGCCCAAGTCATTGGACTAAAGTCAAAGGAGCTTGATGCTATTTTACATCAGCTGAGGATTTGGCCCATTAATCTATCACTCAGTTTATTCAATTTAGGGGTTCTCTTTTTTAAATTTCTTAATTATACTCACTTAATTTTTTTAAAAATGAAGTTCTATAGCTTAGGGGCAAATTTTCACAAGTGTTCATCCAAGCCTAATGAATTGCCCCCACAATTTTATGAATGTAAAAAATAATCTACTGATCTGTTTTATACAGTCACCCATCACTGCAGTATCTGAGCACCTTCCACATATGATTAGTAGCAATACTAAATTCTTGTGACAAAGCTCTGTCCTTGCCTCTGTGGGTCCCACATTTCCTGGCGGATTTTGCTCACCTCAGAGGCCCACTGTGACCCTCCACATAACCCTTCTCTCTAGAGACAAGGGTCACAGTCTACTGAGCCATTTTCCTCATAAGCCAGCAAGGGAGGTGAGGAGAAGTTATCCTTCCTTGCACAGTCTCTGTTGTCTCCCAGTCTCAGTGATTAATCAGGGGGCAAAGGTGAGGAGGGGCAGGGGAGCCTGGGCCCACCCTCTACTCCAGGCTCCAGCCCAGGGATAGTATCAGCTATGGTAGCTGACCTTTTAGAAACATGACATGTACAATTCCCTGGGCTACTTCCCCCACAGCAGCCCTCACTTCCTAAAGCTCCACTTCACCCTTACCTCAGGGCCTCCTTCCTTGTGCCTGATATGGTGTGTACTACTCAGCCTCTCCAACAGCACAACTTCCTTCCACAATTCCTGACATGCACACTCACCTGAGTGACTGGGAGGCTTTTAACTAGTTTCAGCCAGCCCCTGATTGGCTTCAGGTGTCCCAATCAACCCTAGCATTCTCCCTGCCTTCTGGAAAGTTCTTAATTGGCCCCAGGTGTCTTAACTGATCCGGAGCAGCTGCCATTTCACTTAACCTGGTACCAGGGATTTGTTTAGCCCAGAGCTAATATATCTATCTCTCACTACTTTTCTATAGCCATCTGGCCTTTCCCCGTCACATTCTGTAGTGGACTTCCTGGAGAAGTAATAGAACCTAGATGCCTGACAGTCTGATCAATTCAGGTATCTGCATTTTATTATTTGTGCTTGTAAGTGATTGCACTTAAAATTGCAGGCACAAAACAGCTGGTGCCATTGTAGAGGCTGTTTTTGAAAATATGACAAACATTTATAGGTTGAAGTAGATCTGAGCTCTCACTTAAAATATGATATGAATGGCTTGAGACTTCTCTTAGCCAATCACATTGAGCAATTTGTTGCCTTATTACAAAACTAAATAATGGCCTTATTGCTAAATGGTATGACAGTATCCTCTTTTAAGAAATACCCCATTAAATTTGATATGATGATGAAAAACTTATCTGTAAAAACTGCATGATTAAGCGAGGAAAATATTAACTTAGCAGCTTTCCCTAGTAAATAATTCCTTGTGTATTAGTACTGCTTTTTTCAAATGTCCCACCTACCTCTTTTCTATTTATAACTGAAAAAAAGCATCTGATCTTTACACAGTTGCTGCTGGGTTCTGTTTTCTTATTTTCTGAAAGGGAAGTTAACCAGTCTCTTGCACAGAAAAATCAATTTGGGGAAATGAAGATATCCCTATAAGAATGGGCATACTGGGTCAGACCAAAGGTCCTTCTAGCCCAATATCCTGTCTTCCAACAGCGGCCAATGCCAGGTGCCCCAGAGGGAATGAACAGAACAGGTAATCATCAAGTGATCCATCCCCTGTCACCCATTCCCAGCTTCTGGCAAACAGGCTAGGGACACCCTCTCTGCCCATCTTGGCTAATAGCCATTGATGGACCTATCCTCCATTAACTTACCTATTTCTTTCGAACCCTGCTATAGTCTTGGCCTTCACCACATCCTCTGGCAAGGAGTTCCACAGGTTGACTGTGCGTTGTGTGAAAAACTACTTCCTTTTCTATGTTTTAAACCTGCCTATTAATTTCATTTGGTGACCCCCTAGTTCTTATGTTATGAGAAGGAGAAAATAACACTTCCTTATTTACTTTTTCCGCACCAGTCATGATTTTATAGACCTCTATCATATTTCCCCTTAGTCATGTCTTTTCCAAGCTGAAAAATCCCAGTCTTATTAATCGCTCCTCATATGGAAGATGTTCCATGCTCCTAATCATTTTTGTTGCTCTCTTCTGAACCTTTTCCAAT